TAGTGTAATCTGATCATTTGATTCCAATATAGTTCGTCTTGATTTTTAAAATTATGGAGTCTTTCACACAACAGTTTATTTTAGGTTTTTATTGACTAGGTGAGAGCACATGTTGTCATTGAAGGAGATTTCCACTGACGGCACTTAAATCAACCTTATCAATAATATCATTCTGTTCCGGAATGTATTATTGATTATTTAATTTAAATTATGTGACAAAGACCAAACGCTAATTTGTTTGTCAATTCTTCCTTGCTTGTCTTGGGTTTTGCTTATTTAGTTGCTATAGTGTTTACCAGATAAATGCTTATGGCTATAAATATTTTGATTTTTTAAAAAAAGGATTCACGAGGGAATGTACAGGCAAATTCTAACTCAGTAGGTCTGGGATGGGGCTCAGCTGCCTGTGTTTTGCAAACTCTGTAAGTGATTCTCATGTGCACCTCCAGCTGAGAGACCCTGACCAAAGGAAGGAGATTCTGCACAGTCCAGACATTAAATAACTGCACAGGAGAGTCTGAGGGTGTGCAGTGTGTGTGTGTGTGAAGAGGAGTTATAGTGATCTCTCTAGGGCCTCCAAAATCACGCCAGGCGAGAGGGGCACGCAGGAGGCTGGCCTTCCTGGCAAGGGCCCTGTCCTCCGCACACTGTGAGCTCCTGAAGACCTGACACGGCAGAGGCAGGGCCAGCCTGGGACCATGTGTGCCCCGTTTGAAGTTTCAGTTACTATTTCACAGCTCGGGGCCTCCTCCGAGTGTGACATTCAGATCCACAGCTGCTGGCATAAAGCCCTTCCTCCTTGCTTTTGTGTTGCTTTGGAGCCGACTGCCCATACAGATTCACAGTGTGACCTCAGAGGCCACTCAGGTCAGTGACCTCCTGCGCCCCCATCCCAGCCAGAATCCCAGGCTTGAAAGGAGGGCTCTGTGTGCTCCTGTCAGGTGACTGGAGGCTCTGTCTCTGGCAGCAGTCCCAGCGGGCACAGAGACCCACAAAGCCCGAACACTCTTCAGTAACTCCCTCCTCCTCTGTTCTGCTCAGTGCTTTTATTCGCTTCCCTTTGAGTTCCCAGCCCCTATTTCTCTTCAGAAAGGCCAAGCAGCTGAAAGCATCAGATGCCGCCAGGGGCTGTCTCCTGGTGGGGTTACAGTGCCATTCACTAAGCAAACAGCAACTTTGGCAAGAGCCCCTTTTGGTTGTCATGACAAGGCAGATCGCTTGTGTCTTGGGGGTATGCTGTGCCCTCACTCTGGCTGCCCGAGGTTCCATGGCCCAGCTTTCTGTCCTAGATCGTTTGACAGGTCTGCAGCATGCTGGCGCCACCTCACATTAACTATTCTTCAGTTTGAAGTAGCTTTGTCTTGCTCAGCAGAAAAACCTGCCTGGCTTAGCTACCAAAGGAATAGATCAAGCTATTCCTCTACTCAGAACCCTCCGGCCTCTGGTCTCTCTCAAAGCCAAAGTCCTTCCCATGACTACAAGGTCCTGTGTGATCTGGGCTCAGTTTCCTCACTGGCCTCAACTCCCATTGCTCTCCCTCGCCCTGTGTGGGTGAGGGGGGTGTGGGTGGGAGGTCAGGAAGAATGGAGAAGTAGGAAGAGGAGCCTTAGTGATCTCTCTCACACCACAAAATCACACCAGGTAGAAGGGGCCACACTCTGACACACTGGCCTTCCCACTGTTCTCCAGCTGCACCAGCAGACACGCCTCAGGCCCTTTGCACTTACTGCTCTGCTCTCACCCCTGAATTCTGCGCGCTGTTCTCTCTCTTCATTCAGGGCTCTGCTCAAATGTCCCCTCCTCAGAGAGGCCCCTGACTTCATGCCTAACATGGCTGCTGTCCAACTTGTACCCAGCTTTCTCTTTCCTCACAGAAGCTTTCAACCCCTATATTCTATCATAGACTCAGTTTTCAAGTAGTTGAATGTCTGCCCTCCACAGTAGGCTGCCCCTGGCACAGGAGTGGGCCCACGTCAACACTCACAAACATTTGTTACATAGGTGAACAGATGGCTAGTCCTGGACTCAAAGGCTGGCTCTGCTCTTTGGTAGCTTTATGGCATTGAGCAAGCCACCTGGTCACCCTGAGCCTTGGCCTCCTTGTCTGGAAAATGGAGGTGATGATATCTGCCGGCCAGAGTGACAAGAATGAATCACAGCATGATGTCAGCCCCACCCACAGGAGCCGACATCATCTTCCATTCTTCTTCAGCTGCCTTCAGAATGCTCTCCTTGCCCGAGGCTCCTGGGCACCCTCAGGTTTCCGGGATACTCACAACTCACTGTTGCCAGGGGCACCTGCAAGATGCTCCAGGAAAAGACAGCCAGTGCAGGGTGGGGCAAGAGCCCCTGTCCTGCACAGGGCTTGGCACTCCAGCTGGAGCAGCCAGCCCATCTCGGCCTCTGTCCTGCCCTCTGCCGTGCCCAAGGCCCCCTGAGACTGCCTGGGGGTGGGGGGACGCTGGATGAGACTCCCCCAGGCAGCCCCAGGAGCCCAGCCTCCAGTGTCCGGTCGTGCAGTGTGTGTCTGCAGGACGCCCAGCCGGTCACCACAGAGCAGGGGATTCACTGAATTTCTCAGAGGTTGTCTTGGTGTGGTGCTCAAAAGTATTAACAGAAGGAAGGAGATTCACAGCTTTTGTTTTTGAGAGGCTAGAAGATACATTTGTCCATCTCTGAAACTGTTAAGAGAGGAAATAGTCTGTCCATGTCAAGTCCTGCCATTACCGGTTCGATGCTAAGACACTGTCTTCAGCTTCTCACGTCTGACGTTCTTCAGAGGACGAGGGCCGGCAAACACAGAGCGCACTGAGGGCGCCTGCCCGCGAACAAAGTCGGGGAGATGCGAAGAGCAGAAGGGCCGTGCCTTGACCTCCCTGCCTTGGGGGCTGTGCTTGGGGCACATGGCTACATGGACAGGCAGTCTGGCTCCTTGGGGCCAATAAAATGCACCAGCATGGGCGACGGTGTGGTCTTCTGTGGGGAAGTTTAAGAAACATCTCCTGTGTTTCAACGATGGAGTCAGACGCTTGCTCGGTCACTTTATGAATGGCAGCTGTCACTTGACACAGGGATAGAAAGCAACAGGGACCTGGAAGATAGAGAACAGAATCCTAATCTGTAGGACACACTTAACAATGAATTAGGTAATGACAGAAATGGCAGTCAGGGGGGAAATAAGCACGGGACAGAGTAAGGACCTCTCCACAGGCTGAACCCCAGTAAATGGGCACGCTGCATTTGGGGTCAAAACGACAACCACACTGAAATGGGATGTGTTTCGACAACCACTCCTAAAAACATGAGAAGTGTTTCCACTGACCTCAAGCTTAATAATGGCCAGTGACAAACTGGCATGGCCAAGACAATGACAAGGCTGCTGGGAAGGCTGCCCGGTGTCAGCACTCAGCTCTTTGGAACCAGCTCCGCCACTTGCTAGCTGTGTGTCCTTGGGTTCGTCACAGCCCTTTCTGTGCCTCCAAGTCTAACTGGAGTGAGACAGTAACACCTCCCTGCTTGGCTGTGTGAGAACGAGCAGTAAGATGTATAGAGCACTTGGCAGAACCTGGCAGACAGAAGGCACTCCATAAATGGTCATTGTTAGTAATTCACCTGCTGTGGAAATAAAGAGCATAAACTTTTAACGGCAAGGAGAGCCCCTCTCTGCCCTGTCCCTCTCAGACACATTGGAGTGTTGTGTCCAGGTTCAGACTCTGGACTTAAGATCAGTTAGAAAGTTAACTGTCACTGAGCCCTTCGATGAGGACAGAGTCAGCCTGAGAATATCGCTCCAGACACATGTGGTATTTTGTTGTTGTTGTTGTTAAGATATTTAAAGAACCATCATATTAGAAGGAGGACATGTTATACTGTTCCAAAGATCCAAAGTAGAGGTGAAAAGAAGTTAGTATGGCAGGTCTCAGCTCACAGAGGAAACTGAGCTGCCCACAATGAAATGTGCTATCGTAGGAAGTAGTGAGTTCCCCACCACTGGAAGTAATCATTTAGGCAGAAACCGAATGGCCATACAGCAGAAATGTCATAGAAGGAATTTCTGAACCCAAGACCCTTGCAATCAAACAAATGGCCCATGTGGCCTTGTGCAAGTTAACCTCTCTGACCCTCAAAGCCCTTCTCTGTAAAGTGGGAACAACAGCGCCTCAGATGGGTACTAGAAGGATTAAGTCTGGTCATGTCCAGAGAAATTACCCAGCCCATAGTAGATTCTGCCCTGCATGGAGTTAAAAGCAGGGCCTCCTCTGAGGCTAAAAATGCAGTGCAGCCCCACAGACTCCTGGGAGGGTAAGCAGACCTCACCACCCAGCCAGGAAAGAACAGGCTCCAGACAACCACACTAGCCAGAGCGGGCAGCCCGTCAACCAGCTGTGGGGGTCATCACACGTGGGGACATGGCCCTCCCCAAGGCCTCGACACAGTCCTGTCACCCTGTCTTATGGGCAGCGCATGGGAGTGTGGGTCTCGGCTCTTGTCGCAGTGCCTGGGTGAATCAGGCTTGGGAAGCACTGCTTTAGAGGGAAGTCAAAACCAGAAACCTACAGAACTCAGCCCCTCAGCTGGTGCAAAGAAAGACGTGAGCTGGTTTAATGATGTCTTCTTGGTTTGCAAAGGGCTCTGTACCAAAGGATGGGGAAATGCTATTTCGCATCTTCCCTAGGGACTCCAGAGGAAATGAGAGAACTCAATAGCAAAAGGATTAGTAGCTACGTAAGGAAGAATCCTCTTCCTGTGACAGATGTTGGGCGTGAGGACAGCCGACCAGCAGAGTCAGAGTCACGGGAGCCTCGTGGGGGCTTCCATCAGAGCAGGGGCCGCCATCCAGAGGAGGGGGCCGAAGTGGGCTCCCATCCTGAGGCCCTGGAAGGAACTCACAGGGTCCCCTTTCATCCATTTGGCTCCATCGTCTGCCTAAATATCACACTTTCCCCTTCACCTTTCTCCCCCATTGAAGTAAACCATGAGCACTGATCTCCCTTCTCCAGGTATCTCTGAAAACATGGCCGTGCGCTCAGGGCCAGACCAGCTGGAAGAGAAGCTGCGGTCACAACTGGAGGAAGAAAAGAGAAGGTGCCCTTTCTCTTCTCCTTGCCCACCCTGCCCCCAGCCTCAGACGGTTCCCAGGGAGACTGGAGCTGCCTAGGGTCCAAAGAGTGGCTATGCCCCGATCAGGCCTAGAGCTTCTCTGGGAAGTGGGCCTAGCAGCTGTGTCCTAAAACAGCTGGAGACGTTGCTGCCTTTGAGCGGGATCCCTGGGCAGGTGAAGTTGGACTGGGAACTGAAGTATCAGGCAGGGAGAGCCCTTTGCTGTCAGCCCCCTACGCGGCTCAATGTCCCAGGCTGACGCTGAGGAAGCAACCAGCCTTGTCTACTGCTGCCATCTAGGGGACGCAAGAAGTATGACCAGAGAGGTCTGCCTCCCGCCTGCGGCTTCACCCACCTCCCTCCTCGGTCTCTTAATCTGTAAGGCGTCCTGAGAACATTGTATCCCCTTGTAGCCATTTCAGGCCTCCAGGTGATTTCAGTTACAGAGTGAGGAACCTCAAGCCTAAACAGACATGTGGCCATTACTGATACACAGCATGGTCACAGAATCTTGCTTAACACTCCAGCCAAGCTTTTTAGTTCATTCATTTGTACGTGCATTCAGCAAATGTTTGCTCTTCCTTCCACTCCATGGAGAGATTTGGGGAGACCAAACAAGTCACCTCCTTGCCCTCAAGGTGCCAATGGTGTCATTGCGACACAGGCTGCCCTTGACTGGCTAGGCACCCACCCTGAGCAAACCCCTCCACCCTTGCCCCCCCCACACACACACCCCTGCCATCCAGAGACTTGAGGACAGGTCCCATGCAGCTGGCGGGCAGGTCGCTCCTGATAACTATGTGCTGTGGTTCCTCCTGCCAGCCCCCTCTTTCCAGAAAGCTGGCCCTGCCCTCCTGCACAGCTGCTCCCTGGGTTCACTCCCCAGGTGTCCGCTGTCCCCCTCACTCCATTCACTTTTCTCAGTTCCTTTCCAATCCATCCCTCTGTGTCTTCACTGTGCCCCATCCTGACTCCTTGGTCCTCACTTCCCACCTCAGGGTCAGCTCAACGCTTCCCGCTGGACAGCTTCTGACTCACCGCAGCATGCCCCACGCCCACACATGCGTGACCCATGCCGACAGGTGCACTGACAAGTGCATTGCCGCCTCTGGTCCTCAGCACGGGGGTGAACCAGCGGACTGGGAGGCAGTGAAGACTGTGCTTCCAGAGCCAGACGGCCTGGGTCCCCACCCTGGCTCCTCTCATTGTTAGCTCTGTGCCGTGAAACAAGTTATAATACTTACCCTCCCATGCCCAAGGTTCCAAAGCTGTGCAGCAGAGAGGATACATAACAGTGTCTCCTTCGTAATCCTGTGGAGAGGATTGAATTAGCTTGTGTATGTCCAGTGCCCAGCGCAGCGTCTGCCCCTTTGCAAATGCCCCATAACGGTAGCTGTCACTATGCGAAACGGTTGTTCATCTCCCACACGGAGGCCTGTGGGCCCACTGGACAAAAACACCCGGCTCTGCTTCTCTGTGGTGGGAGGACACGCTGGCCTCAGTGGGCAACTTTACAGTCCCTCTTACCAACACAGTACTGAGGCACAGACAGGCAGCCGACGGTCCTTGGGCAGCCCTCCCTCCCACCAGTGACTTTCAAGACTCTTCTCTGATGCCACTGCAGGTATAAAACCATGTTCACACGCCTGAAGGCCCTGAAGGTGGAGATAGAGCACTTGCAGCTGCTCATGGACAAAGCCAAGGTGAAGCTGCAGAAGGAATTTGAAGCCTGGTGGATCAAGGAGGCCAGCAGACTGCAGGTATGGGTGCCTGGCCAGACCCCTTGCTGCCCTAGCACCTGTCCTCCTCCTGGGGCCCAGGGACAGTCAGGGCAGCTGGGGAGAGGCAGACACGGCCCCCATGGGGCTGCCAGAGGAAGAGTGTGGGGGCTTCAACTCTCAAGCCCACGTGCCCTCAGCCCCAGCTCAGGAAGCAAGCCCTCGTTTTAGTAACAAGAAACGCAAAGGTGTCAGCTCCGTGAGTCCTCTGTCCCACAGGATGTCACTGACCTAAAAGGGACCAGGTGACTGCAACAGGGAGGATGGGGCACCCTGCTCCTGAGGTGCCACGGCTGTGCTGCCACTGAGCGGTTTTACAGCCTGCGGACACACCCCAAGTGGGGCTGCACCCTGGGTGGGGCGAGCCAGAAAGCAGTAAGCCTCATCAGAACATGGGAGGTGATACGGAGAGTGTCCCCTGACAGCATCCCGGGGGGACAGGGAGGCAAGTGGGAAATGAACCCCCACGCTCTCATGCTCTGGGCGTTCTGCCAAGACCCAGAGAAGCTGCAGGGAAGCCTTGTCCATGAGCCCTGCGTGGAGACGCACAGGCCCCAGGGAGTGCGGCGGGACTGCTCCCCGCACAAAGCGGGCATCTCTCTGGAGCAGGGGAAGCAGAACCAGAAAGGACTTCTGGAGAACTGTTGGATCACATTTTAAACATGTGTTCCTAAGTGCAGGAAGTAATACATGCCCAATTTGGAAAACTTAGCCCAGAAAAGCACAAAGAACAAATCGCACATTACCTATCACCCTGCCACCCAAAGACGGTGTCTTGGGGCCTGTCATCACACTTGTCACTGCACGTCTATGTCTCCCTGTCCCCACCTGTGCCACACATGCCAGCCCACAGCTGGTTTTCCCCTGGGGGCTGAATGAAGGGCATTTCCCCGGTCATCAGACTCAGGCGAACACTGTGAACGAAACTCCTTCTTGGGCCAACAGGTGAACCCTGCAGCAGGGAACCCGCTCGGCCACACGCAGCCTTTCCCCCAGGTGCCTGAATCTCAGCACGAAAGGCCCCAGCTTCCCCCCAGCAACAGGTAGGAAGACAGTTCTACTGACAAGGGGGGTGGGGGGCGCCGGAAATGGCCCCTTCCTGCCCTCAGCCCGCTCCTGCTGCTCTAAAGGGTTATAGGCTGTGGGGTCTGGGAGGATCATTCACTTTCACTGTTAAATAGTGTGTAAATACGCAGGCTGGTGCCTTTCAGGCCTGTTTCAGCACAACCCCTCAGGCCTCCCCTTGCTCTGACAGCCACAGACCCGCTGCCATGGCAACAGGAGAAGCAGCTGACCCACAAGCCCTGGTTCTGCCCTGAGCAGGAAGAAGGGGTGGGCAGCAGGTGGGGCTGGGGAGTAGTGGGGGGGAGAGGGAGGGGTGTGGGTAGGAGGGCAGAGGGGAGTCGGCCCGCCAGGATCCGGGGGCGCTCTGGTAAAGACTGTCCGGCACACAGTCAGGACAGAGGTGGGCAGCCCCGATGAGGACCGTGGCCGGCCCAGAGCTGGTTTCCCTGAATGATGGCATGACCCGGCAGGGGCGCCACCTCCCCGCTCACCGCCTTTTGAAGGCAGGTCCCTTCTGGTGCCATCCACACCCTTATCTCTTTCCAACCACACTACTCAGGCCGCAGGTCAGTGACGTATGCCTCCGCTGTCACCAGCGCCCAGACGGACGGTCGCGACAGAGGCCAGGGCAGGAGAGCGGCCTCGGCCTCCGCCACCAGGAGCGGTCCTCTGACCGGGTTTGGATGGGGCTGAGCTCTCGCACTGGAAAGGCGGGCACGGGGCCGGTGTCAGACAGCCTGCTGGGTTTGGTGTGATGGGAATGGCTCTCTGCCTCTGAGGTCTTCTTCTCAAAACCCATAACCCCGTCAGATCATGAGGAAAACAGCAGGCAAGTCCCAATGCAGGGACGATCTACAAAATACCTGTCAGCAGACACGGGAAAAGTCTGAGAAACTGTCCCAAGCACGAAGAGCCGACGGAGATCCCCAAAGGAGCTGGGGATCCTGTGCGCCCAAGAACTCGCCCGTGGGTGTTCACAGGTTCACAGCAGCTTGATTCATAATTGCCCCAAGACATCCTTCAAAGGGTGAACGGGTAAACAGACTGTGGAGCATCCAGATGCTGGAATATTGCTCAGTGATAAAGAGGCAAATTATCAAGCCAGAAAGACCTGGAAGAAGTTAAGTGCATGTTGCTGAGTGAAAGAAGCCCGTCTTAAAAGGTTACACACTGTGTGACTCCAACTGTGACGTTCTGGAAAAGGCAAAACTATGGAGACAGTAAAAGATCAGGGATGCCCAAGGGCTGGGTGGAGGGTAGAAAGGGTGAAGAGGGGAATGCAGAGGAATTTTTTAAAAGATTTTATTTATTTATTTCTAGAGAGACGGGAAAGGAGGCAGAAAGGGGGAGAGAAACGTCAATCCGTTGCTTCTCACAAGCCCCTAACTGGGAACTAGAAACTCGCAACCCAGGCATGTGCCCTGGCTGGGAATTGAACTGGCGACCCTTCCCTTTGCAGGACAATTGTCAATCAACTGAGTGTCCCCAGCCAGGGCCACAGGGGATTTTTAAGTCGATGAAACTATGCTGTGGGACACTGCAATGGTGGACATGTGATATGCATTTCTCAAAACCCATAGAACACACGACAGAAAGAGGGAGCCCGTGTTAGCTATCACTTAATAATAACGTATTGATATTAGTTCATCAGATATAACAAATATACCACACCAATGCAAAGATGGTAATGATAGGGGGAAACCATAAGGAGAGAGAAGGGGTTACATGGGAACTCTCTGTACTGTCTGCTCAATTTTCTATAAAACTTCCCTGAAAATACACCACTAATGAAGAGGAAAAGGCCATGTAAGTAGACAGCAGCGCTTCTCTGGGTCCCTGACAGCCTCCGGGGCACTTGAGTTTGCAGCCCTGCACACCTGCCCCCTTCCCCACAGAGGCCCCTCCCAGAAACCCCAGGACTCCACAGAGCATGCTCGAAAAACACACAGCCAGCCAGCCAAGCGGCCAGAGCTCCCCCCAATCATTGCTCTGGCTCCATTCTGAGCCCCTCCTGTGTCCTCGACAGGGGAATAAGGCCCCCGCCTAATTGTGAGGCTCAGAACCACTGGGTATTCCCCAGGCTCAGTCTGATCTCTGGTGTAGCTGCTCCTGGTGGAACTATCCTGCCCAAAAAATAGAAATCCCATCTCCAACTTTTCTCTTGTTCCAAAGACAATGAATGAAGAGAGAGTGTGTGTCCGAGATGACCGGGGGTGTCAGGAAAGGCCCAGTGAGCACACCCTGGGGCTAGGAGGTAGACATAGACTGTGCCTGCAAAGTGACGTTCAGAGCCTTGAATTTCAAATGTGTATGTCAGACCGCCATGGGAGCTGTTCCGACCCGCTCCTGGAGTGCCATGCAAGCCCTTTGAGGGCTGCTGAAGGACAGTCCCTGGGGGGATGGCTCTCAGGTGGGCCCTGGGCAGCCGTGCTCTGGTCCAATCACTAGCCCTCATCAGAATAACCAATTGTCCTGACCAGTGTTTGTTAAGATGCCTGGACTGCACGTGGTCAGCACCCCTAAATTCCCTCCCACAGCAGGAGTTCAACACCAAAAACAACAGGTAGAGAGGTTATAAACAGGCAGGTGAGAGCTTGGAAAGGGAGAAGCCTAGGGCTCCCCTCTGACAAAGAAATCACCTGCCACCTGCTTTATCAGGCTGACTCACAGAGCTCACAGAGCTCTGCCCGGCCACTGTGGCATCTCAAGCATTGTCTGTGAACATCCAAGTGGAGGGCTAGTTGCTGATGCCCTTAAATTCCCCCAGGGAGACAGGATTGACTTTCTTCTCTTACAGTAATAACATCCCCTGCCATCCACCAAGGGCTCCCTGGGCCAGGCACTGAACAAATGTGCAAAGTATGTACTCTCGTTGTCCCCACCTTACAGGTGAGAACACTGGGCTCCGAGAGATTGATTAGCTTGCTCAGGGTCACCCAGCTAATAGGTGCTGAAACAGGATTGGAACACAGGCCACCAGCATCTGGCCGCCCCCACCCCACTCCTCGAGTCGATTTCCATTAACATCAGTGACTGCGCTTCAGGGGCACGGGCACATTCTGTTGTTTAGTGGGAGGTGGCATTTTCCTGCTTGTGTTCTGTACTGTTTCATACAAACGTGCTTTCTTTATATTCTGCCAAACACCAGTCTCTCCTGCATGGAGCCTCTCCTCTCTCAATGTGTCCACATTCTGATTTTCCTAAGGGGCCAGGGTTTGCAAAGAGCAAATCTGTGCTACCCTCGAAGGCCAGCCTCTGGCCTGGAAACCAGACCTCCCTGCTGTCAGCCCCACTATTTTGGTCGAGAAACCCGAAAGTGAATCCCCTCGTTTCACTAGTGAGAAAACTGAGGCCCAGGAAGGGGGTGTGATGCTTTAGACTCTGGTTAGTAATGTGCAGAGCTACAGCTTACTCCAGACTTTCAGACTCTGTGTTAAGCGGCATTTCTTCCTTCCTTCCCGCTCCCTGCTCCCTACTCCCTGCCTCCCCTCCTTTCCCAGCTTCACTCCATCACTGCCTTCACCTTCCCATCTTTCTTTCACTCTCTCACTCTACCCGTCTGCATGCCCATCCTGCATTCCCTTTCTCCCTTTTTTCTTTTCTCGTCCTCTCTATGCTTCTTTGCCCTTCTCCCATCTCCTTATCAGCAAAGGCTGCCACTCTTTATTGCTTGTCCACCTGTCCTTTACCAGGCCTTTACCTGCCAGCTCTCTGAGAGAGTGCCCACTGCGGACTAGGTCTAAGAACTAGCCCTGGATGTGGTGTCCTTCCAAAACTAGCCATTAGGATCGCGCTCCTGCTTCAGCACCCACCTTGTCTGAGAAGTAGGACCCATGCTGGCTTGGCCTTCCTGGGTATTCCAATTCAGGATGATCCCTGGATGTGCTTGCTAAGAGATCTTTAACCTTAACGTTCAGGACCTTGGATTTCACAGGTGCCCATCAGATCACCAGTGGTCGCCTCCAAGAGTCCCCCTTTACACTTTCACAAAGAGTGTATTAAACAAATCCTCATCAGAGCTCTTTCAAGCAGGGGGCCCTTGGGCAAGCCACCTTCCCTCTTTGGAATTCCCTCCATCTTCTGTAAGATGCATCAAGGTCCCTCCGACACTGTTATTCTATGAGCAGATAAATGTGTCAGTGCCACTGAGGAGTTGCTGGAGCGAGAGAGTGAGTCCAGCTGGCTGCCTGCACCTGAGCTCCAGCGCGGCTGCTGCCGACAGACTCTGTGCGGGACAGGGGCTGCTCCTCCGCTCCTCGGGTCTGAAAGAAACCCGACGTCCTCACTTCCCCAAGGATGCACAGGGCCTGCGGGTCGGTCACTAAGTTCACGACACTCCAACTGGCAACCCAGGAGGTCTAATTACAATTAATATTGTTTATTAATTTTTATTAAGAAGGATAATTAATTCTGATGCCTGGTATGTTCTCTCCAGAACAAATGTCAACATGAGAAATGAATTCAGTGTCAAAGGCAGGTTGGACGTGAGAAAGGATAGAAGCAATTTGCAGCATGAGGGTTCAAAAACCAAGCTGTGGCATCCAGTGACACTGGAGCAGCTTAGGAACAGAGGAGTTATTTCCCTCAGGAGCCCCATGCCTTTGCACTGTGCCATGCTCCTGCAGGGGCCGGTGGAAGCACCAGGCTGGGCATCTGGGCCTGCGGGGGGCCTGCCACGGTGTGGTCACAATGCCCTTCTGCCCTGCCATGTCCATCTCTGACCTTTCCTGTCTACTCCCAGCTGGCCCCTGTGAACACTCCCTGGAATCTTAGGAAAGGCTCCACTGGGAAACCATCGAGTTAATGAAGCATTTGTGTGCTAATCACTTGATCTTACAAGATTTGCTATGGCTTCCAAACTGACCTGTACTGCGGAATGGAAAGCCCATTCTCCTTCCCTTCTCTTGACCTGCAGGGAGAACTCGCCAATTAGAGCCCAGAGAATTGAACCCTGTCCTTAAAGAAAAGTGTGCATAGCCTGCCACCTAGTGGCTATCTCTGGTCCTGCAGCAGCCCTCATCAAACAACAGATCTTCAACTGGCCCCCTCAGTGAAGAGTCTCTGGGGTGCTGGGAATTAAGCATCAGGGGGAAGAAGTCCCAGGTCTGATTTACTCTCCTTTTGTTTGAACCACAGTCCTGAACCTGTGAAGGGCAGGCCCAGGGTAAGAAGGCCTGATGCTGGAAGAGACAGGAGAGGGCAGAGGCTGGAGCTGGGGAAGGGGCTGTAATCAGGGGTAAGTCAGCATCATGTCAGGCCTGGGGAGTTCCTTGGAGTCCTGATGCAGACTTGGCAAATCTGGTGCACCTGCCTCTAACCATGGGTCTGAGAGTTCCCATTTGCAAAAGGAGGGTTCTGACCAGGTGACTTTTTAGACCTCTTCCTTCTTCGATGTGCTGTCTAGGTAAGACCGGATCCAAAGCAAGGAGGAAGATCCCATCCGTCACTGGAGTCTGGGACAGCTCTGGCCATTGGCCTTTTATCTCCCAAGGGGTGCTTCTGGGTTCTGCTATACCCAGCGAAGAATCCAAGGTGAGGCCCTTGCACTAGGCAGCCTAGTAAAACAGGCAAAAATGCATCTGTGTGAGCTGCTGGTTCTGACTCCTCACTCAGGAAACACAGCTGGCCTCCTAAGGGCAGCTGGTGTGGCCAGGGATAAGCCGTGCACCCAGCGTGCTCCCGCAGAGCACCAGAGTTGGGTCCAGTTAGTATCACATCGAGATTCAGAGCAGGGGTCCTAAAGCCTGACTGAGTTGTTAGACCCAGATTCTGCCACTACCAGCTGGGTAACTTTCAAAATTCCTTTAACCTCTTTCAAAATTTATTTTTGAAAACCTCAGTTTTCTCATGTATACAGTAGGGATAATGAGGCTGTCGAGAGGATTAAATGGCATGATGTTTGCAGAGTGCTTCCCCAGAACCTGGTGTGTAGACGGTGTCTGTAAATGACAACTGTGATTTTTGTTGTTTTTGTTCAATTTGCATAGCCAATGCGTGCAATGCTGCAATGTGAAAATTAATGTGTGAACCATCTGTTCTCGACTAAATGTCTGTGTGTCCCCCCCCCACTAAAATTCACATGTTGAAACTCTAACTTCATTGTGATAGTATTTGGAGATGGGGTCTTTGGGAAAGGAGTAGATCGTGAGAGGACACTCACTCTCTTTCTGTGTAAGGACACAATGAGAAGTGAGCAGTCTGAAACCCAGAAGAGGGCTCTCAGCAGAATACAGCCATGCTACACCCTGATCTCAGACTTCCGGCCTTCAGAACTGGTACTGTATTAGAGCAACCTGACCTTACTCAAACAGAAATTGGTACCAGGAGTCAGGTGCTGCTATAACAAACACCAAAAAATGTAGAAGCAGCTTTGGAGCCAGGTGATTGGTAGAAGCTAGAAAGTTTTGAACTACGTAACTAGAAGTAGCCAAAACTATCATAAAGGGACATTTTTCCCCCTCACCTGAGGAATATATTTATTGACTCTTTAAACAGAGAGGAAGGGAGAGAGAGAGACAGAGATGGATACAGAGACAGAAACATCAATGTGAAAGAAACATCTATCAATTGCCTCCCTACACTTCCTGACCAGATACCAAACCTGCAACCTTTGGGCACACGGGATGATGCTCCCACCAGCTGAGCCTCCTGGCCAGGGAATAAAGGGACTTTTACAGGAATTCTAAGGAGAACTCAGAACGGAAAGAGAAGAGCTGTCGAGAAAGCTTCCATCATCTTAGAGAAGACAAATAACCATGTTCAGAATGTTGATAGAAATAGGGATGGATAGTAAAGGTCATTCTCATGAGGTTTCAGACAGAAATGAGGAACGTGGTATTAGACAGTGAAGTAAAGACAATCCTTGTAATAAGGTGGCAAAGAACTTGGCTGAGTTGTGTTCAAGTTCTAGTATTCTGTGGAAGGTAGAACTTACACATGATGAAACTGGATATTAGCTGAGGAAATTTCTAAGCCAAGTGTTGAGGGATTGGCTTGGCTTCTCCTGACTGCTTATAGTAAAATATAAGAAGCAAGTAATCACATGAAGTTGAAATTATTAAGCAAAAAAGAACTAGAATGTAAAGACTTGGAAAATCTCAGCCTATCGTTATTGCAAAAAACAAGGAAGTGTCTTCAGAAGAGAGCACCAAGGGTGTTCCCAAGCGACCATAAGGAGATGAGTGTGGGTGTGAACCAGGGACTCAGTAGCCACCCCAGCAGGAACCCTGACGGTGTGAACTGGAGAGGGGGAGCTGGGGAGGAACGAAGGCACGCTGTTGGACTTCTTGGATTTCACGGGATGGGACCATAGAGCTATTCTGCTGTGAACATGCACTATTCTTTAAGGCAATAGAAGAACAACCCCAAAGGGGATTCAGAGACCTTCAGAGCTGCGCCTCCATTTCAAAAGGAAGGCCCACTGACTTGCTTTCAACAGGTCAAACAGCATCTGCCCAAAGCTGGAGTAAAGCAGGCACCTAGCAGAACCATGAGGGCATGACCCCTGGCCAGCAGAGCCTGGATGACCTCTACTCCAGTGGGTCCAGAAGGCGGGACCTTAACCCTAGTGAGTCTGAAGTGCAGATCATTGAGCCAATGAAGATTATTCTCAGGCCTTCAGAACCCTGGAGAGTTTGCCTTGCTAGGATTTAGACTCCCTTAGCACCCATCACCTGTCCCTATTTTCTCTTTACCCTGTTGGAAAGGGAATGTCTGTCATGGCCTGTCCCATCACTGTGTTTTAGAAGCACGTAGCTTGTCTGGATTCACGGGTTCACAGCTGGAGGGCAATTTAGCCTCTAGATGAACCAAGAATACCTTGAGTCTCACCTATACCTGATTAAATGAATTTAGATGAGACTTTGAACTTCAGATTTAGAGTTGATGCTGAAACAAGTTAAGATTTGGGGAGCTGGTAGGATGGAATGAAGGTATTTTTCATGTGAGAAGGACCTGAGTTCTGGAGGGCCAGGGGTGGAATATTATGGACTGAATGTGTCCTCCAAAAATGTGTGTGTTGAAACCTAATCCCTAATCTATGATGTTTGGAGGCAGGGTCTTTGGGAGGTGACTAGGTCCTGAGAGTGGAGGCCTCCTGAATGGGACTCGTGCCCTTGAAAAGAGAGGCCAGAGAGCTGCCTCGCTCTCCTCTCACCACGTGGACACAGGTGAGTCGGCCACCGGCTCTCCTGACAAGGGCTCTCACAGAAACCCAGCCACGCTGGCACCCCAAGCTCGGACTTCCAGCCTCCAGAACTAAGAAACAGGTTCCTGTTGTTTAAGCCACCCAGTCTGTGGTCTTCTGTTACAGCAGCCTGAACTGACTAAGACATCTTTCACAGCGGGGGAGTCTTGGCCCCCATCTGAGTCAGCTCAGGCTACCATAACAAAACCCCATAGGCAAATTTAAACTACAGGAGTTTATTCGTGTCTCACAGTTCTGAAGGATGAAGAAACCCATATCAAGGTCAAGAGAGAGTCTGGTGAGAACCTTATTCCTGGCTTGCAGGTGGCTGCCTTCTTGCCAGGTCTTCACGTGATAGAGACAGCACTGGTCTCTCTTCATCTTCTTATAAGGACACCAATCCCATCATGGGGACCCACCCTCATACCCTCATCTAAACCTAATCACCTCGCAAAGACCCCACCTCCAGACATCATCAAAGTTGGAAAGGCAATAGATGGATTTTGAGGGGACACAAATATTCACTCCATACAGTCCCTAAATATAGACACTGAATTTCTCTTTGTAAGCCTCCTCCCATACCTTCTCCTTTGTAGGTTTGGTTTTTACAGTGATGTGAGCGCCAGGAAAGTCCTGCCCTCACCTGGCCCCATCCTGTGCAGCCCGGAGCAGACCAGCACTCAAGCCTCCCTGGACGGCAGGTCTGTGGTCTTCTCCTCCCTCTGCGCCTGTGACAGCCCCTGCTGTGGGCAGACTGCATCAAAGTCGTCAGTCTGTTTCCCCTCACAACCTGAGGAGCCCCTTGAGCAGGGGCCGCACAGATAGAGCCAGGGCTAGTCTCCACTCTGCTACCTGGAATCCCCTGGAATCTCTCCCAGTGTCGCTGGGGCCCTGTGCGGGCAGAGATGCATCATGTCTCTAGTGAATAGATGTACATGGGGCCATTAAAGGAAAGAAGAGCCAGCCCAGGACAGTCCCAATCTAGGCCATTAACTCCACCACGGAGTCCTCAAGCAGGGAAGGACACAGAGTTTGCAAGCCTGGCCTCAGTCCTGTGGGCCGTTCATTCCAGGGTGAACAAAGTGAATCAAGCCTCTCCCCAGCGCCTGCCCTTTGTGCCTGGCAGACCCTACTCTTCTCCCAAGATGCCCAGGGGTGAATTCCACCAGGCCTTCCCCCACCCCAGAGAGAACAGAGAAGGGATAGCCCCAGCCCAGCTCCCTGCCTCCCGCTGTGACTCTGCTTTAGCACCTCTGGCTGAGTTGCAGCTGGAATGAGGATACAAAATATTACTTGTGATAATGAATATTTGATTGCATATAATCCTCACTGCCTTCCAAGGGAGTGGAGACTGTCACCTGCTGTGTGGAAGGATGGGTGTAAGGATGGAAGCTTGGTAAGGCCAGGAAAGTACATTGCTCTGAATTTTCTTTAGGGGGATTTTATATGAAGGAGTTGGATGGAGAAAGAAGAGGGAGAAAGACACAGGCATCCCTCCCTTCCTAAGGGGATTTCTGTACTTCTTACAAGTCTCATTGACCAGAGCCTGGCCACCTGGCCACGCTTAGTTGCAAAGGAACCTGGGAAATGTAGTTTTTAGCTATAGCAGCTTCTTTAGCTAAATATTGTGGTTCTGTTTTTAAGGAGAGAAGGGAGAATAGTTATCTCTGCCTCCGGAGCAACTAGCTAAGCCATGGAGGGGATGGGGACACAGTGGGGAGGCATCCTAGGGCATATGACATCTAAATTGGGTGCTGAAGAAGATAGGTCCCAGGTCAAATGCACTTGCTTTGGGTAAGTTGGAGGGCAAAAGGAGGGGCGTAATAGTGAGGGGATGGAGAGGTGGTGAGAACATGACACATCTGCATGTAAAGTTTTGCTGTGGCTACTGCACAGATAAGGGGGAGGGAGTGAGGAGGAGGCAAATTCATTCTCATAGTGTCCGGGGTGATATCGGGTCACTGAAAAGGAAAAAGCACTTTGGAAAGGTAAGCACTGAGCCCAAACACGGGGTGTAGTAAAGTGTGACATGTGGCTGTCCCCAGCATCCCTGAAAAGCCAGTGTCGTCCATCCCTCTCACCGGAGACAGCCAGACGGATTCTGACATCCTGGCATTCATCAAGGCCAGACAGAACATTCTGCAGAAGAAATGTAAGTGCACCTTCCTCCAGGGCCACAGGTGACCACACTCTGCTCACCATCCCTGGGACAGGTGAGGGGGGAGGCTGGAGAAGGCAGTGAGGTGAGAAGGAAGGAGGAAGCTTCCTGCATGTTCCTGAAGCCACAGGACTGGCCTTGCGGTCACTTCCATGTGCCTGGACTCTGCGTCCTCCTGGAGAAAGCCCCAAGAGACAGTAACAGAAACCCCAAGACAGGTGAAGAGCATGACCAGCCCAGCCGCACCTGCCCTGTTTGGCAAAGCATCTCTTTTTCTTCCAGGTCATCAGCTCTCTTTATTCGCTGTCCCCAAAGCCACCTCTCTTTAGCTCAGGCCTCACCAAACAGGAGGGGGCTGGGAGGTTTGGTAACTTGTGGAATCCCTGGCTAGAAACATCAGTCTCCTGCTGGAGCATGGATCTTGCCAGTGAGTTGTAGCTGTAAACACTACTGGAAAGCCCAGGCCTGAAGACACCATAACAATTACAGAAACCATATGTGTGGGGTGTCAGACAACAGGAAGGGAAAGAGAAGGCCCTTCCTGGCCTTCATCACTGCCCGCCCCCTTCCCCTTGGCAGGTTCCCACCTGCTGTGCACAGGTCACCTCTTCTCCTGCCTTCCCTCGCCCCAGAGACACACGGGCGAGCCTCAGGGCCCTTACCCCAGCCTGCTTCTACTCTTAGCCTCGAACCGATAATTGAAGGCTACTAGACAGGCTTAGCATTGCTTTCACAGGTCAACAGGCTCCTTGGTGGATGAAATGGCAGACCTGGATCCTACAATGACTGACACCTGCCCTGAGGTCCCTACACTCGGCTTCATGGCCAACTCTCTGCCGTTTAGACTAGGAGGTTTGCACATGAATGGAGCACCCCCAGTAGAGGGTGGCCTTTGCCATGTTGTCCTCATCAGTGGCAAGTAGGCTTCCTCACCAGGATGCTTATTGTCCTACTTATTGTCCTCTCCTCCCCACTAGGATCAGCACCATCAACACCATCGTCAAGTCTAGTCTGAGACCTGAGACAGTGAGAACCAGAGAAGGCAGTGAGGCTCTTCCAACAATCTCTCCTGACACCTTGGTCACATAACTTGCTTTCTCTCATCCTCAGTTTCCTTGTCTAAAAAAGAAAATGAAAAAAAATGAATTTTGATTCAGTGATTTCCAAGGCCCCATCTATGGCCAAAAAACTCTAATGACATGTATCAGACACCAAATAGTTCTGAAGAGCCAGTCAGGGAAGGAACACTATTTATTGGGCATCTCGAGTATGCCAGGTGCTGTGCCAGTGCAGTGAGTTGTACCGTGGCAGTGAACAAGACAGAGTGCCCTTGACATTCCAGGAGGAGGGAGGAGACATGATGGCCACATCAACTGATACCTCAGATAATTTGAAGTGCTCATGAGTGCTATGAAACAGCTGAAGTATGTAATGCAGAGTGCAACAAGGAAGTCCACTTGTAGCTGGAGGGGTGGGGGAGGCCTCTCTGGAGAAGAGAACTTTAACCCGATAGCTGAGCAGTGAGAATGAAGCATCTGTGCAGTGTTCTGTGGGTGGGCAGTGCAAGCAGAGAAATCAGAGTGGGCAGGCCTGAAGGGAAGGGGCTTTGCTTGGTCACAGGATGGGAATGAGTCCAGGGGTGGCTGGGGGGCCGAGCAAGGCAGCAGGGTCACACAAGTCTTGTGTGAGGGGTTTGGCTTCTATTCTAGGTGCAGTGGGAATTCACTGAAGAATTCAAACTGTGGCAGGTTGAGCTGTGACTGCTGCCTTGGGAAACTCACTCTGGCTGTTGTATGAACAGTGGGCTGTAGAGGACCAGGAGGAGCACAACGATCAGGCTCCGGGGAAGGTCCAGGCCAGGGATGGGGGCAGCCTGGACTTTCCAGCGGATTGGATGTGAGTTGTGAGGGAAACAGGGAGTCAGGAGGGCTCCTGGGCTTCTGATAGGAGCAGCTGATGATAGGATGGTGGTGTCATTTTCTGAAATGAGACAGACAGGGAGGAGCAGATAGAGAGGGAAGGACCTGGAGTTGCAGAAGCCGTGTGAGAGCCCAGAGAAGATGAGTAGGCAGCTGGACTTGAGTCAGGAGCTCAGCAGGGAGGTCTGGGTGGTGTGGCATTGTGTAAAATCCCTAGTTGCCATGAGATTTAGAGGTAGAGTGGGAAACGCAGCCAAGACCCTGAGAAGGTGCAGCCAGTGCCAGAGATGGGCCAGCGGGTGAGTAAGTGTGATGACCCCAGGCAAGTCAGCGAGAGAGTGTGTTGCAGGGCAGACAGGCTGGGAGAGTGCAGTGCTGCTGAGAGGCTGAGTCAGCAAGGGCAGAACGTGGACCCCTGGCCACGTGCATGACGCATGGCCCTGGACACGTGTCCTCTCGGGCCAGTAACTGCAAGGATAACAGCCCCCGTGGCCGCAGGGGTGGAGGGAAGAAGGGGAGAAGAGGAAGCAGAGACGCCTCTCTCTGTGAATTTAGATACCTCTAAACTCACAGTTTAGTGAGTGGAGATGCCTTTTCAGAGGAGTTTACCTGTGAAGAGAGGAGAGGAGGCTACAGCTACAGGAAGCCGGCACAGAGCAGGAAGGATTTTGTTTTTGTTTTAAATGGTTTTGAAGACATTTATATACTGAAAGGAATGGTCAGTAGAACAAAGGAAATTGATGATGTGGAAAACAGGACCAGAACTGCAGGAGAAAATCTTTTGAGAAAAGTACAAGATGTAATTTCCAGGCCATGTGGAGAAAGAGGTTGGCTTTGGGGGCAGGGAGGCCCCCTCCCCAGAACAACTCATAAAAATCAACTGTCATTTCTCCCATCAAGAAGTCCACAAGTGAGCAATATTTTTAAGTTATGTTTACTCACCTTTTCTACACGTCATGGAGACTTTTTCATCCAGCCCTCTCAGAAGAGAAGAAACATGGACCCAAGGCCTGTGTCGGGATGGTGTCTCCCTGCCCCACTCTGCCCAACCGTGCATAAAGCTGGGCTGAGGGGTGGGACTCTTACTAAAATGTGTACAGCACATTACCAGTTATACATCTTTTATTTATATTATTCCATCTGATGCTTTCAACACTCCTGTAAGGTATATGGAGCCAAGAGTGTGACCTCCCTTTCGACAGGTGAGGAAACAGAAGCACACAGAGGTTGAATAACTTGCCCGGCAAACAAACGGCAGGGCCAGGAGAGCCCAGGACTTCTGCACACTCTCCGCTGGGCCCCAGGGTCTTAGAGCCACTCTGCTGTCCCTGTCGGTCTCTTGGCCTCCACCCTCCCTGCAGCTGGGGAGCTTTGTTCTCCAAACAAACAGCAGCCTGGAAGTCATTCATCAAAACAAACAAGTTCAAGGGTTCAATTTTTATTCTTAAGGGAAGAAAAATAACCCCGGGTTCTTAGTGACCATGGGGCTGCAAAGGAAGCTGAAGACAGGATGATAAAGGGTCCCTCTCCTGCCAGGTCAGGGCTGAGAGTCCAGCAGGTGCAGCCTCTCTGGACGCGTGGCAGATGGCCCCGGTCCCACTGCACAGCACTTTCTGCACAGCCCACTTATCAAGCCTGCCTGTCAGGCAAACACGCAGGCCGGGGCCCAGGCACCTTCCCCGGCCAAAGCAAACACTCCCCTCTCCCCTGGGCTCCCTCTGCTCTTAATTTAGGGGCCTGCCTGTCTGGGCTTCTTCAGCAGTGCTCATTATGGGGAATTTGTGACTATCAGTCTGGGAACAGGAGCCCAGAGAGGGTGATTTAACATAAGCCTCCCACCGGCTCTTAGACCTCACCAAAGCCCATGTGAATCTACTTGATTTAGGGTTCAAGGGAAAGCTGTGGAAAGTTTAAACCCCTGCCAGGGGCACCTGCGGACAGGTATATATCTCCCATAAGAGGCGTTAGTCATCCATGGTGCCAAATCTGCTGTTTCTAACTACCAAGGATGGCTTTAAAATCTGAGAAAACGAGGTTAAATCCTTTCTAGAATGTTTTTTTTTAATCCCCCTTATTTCCTGAGTTTGGAAGTATTTCCATCTGGACGGGAGCCTCAGTGTGACTCCCATGACCACAATGCCCGTTTCTCCAGCTGGTAGCAGGAAGAGGCTCTGACCAAGTGCCTCAGCGTCCCCACTGCCCCCACCCCATCCTCTCCACTCTAAGGAGCCTCCAGCTTTCTCTCCTTTGTTCTGTGTCCTTCCCTGTGCAATGGAAAGAACACGGAACTGGGAGGGAAGAGGCTTAAATGCTGGGGCTATCTCTGCCTTGTGCGACCTTGGCAGCCTCCCTCTCATCTGTCAAGTTCAGATTCCACCTTTGCCCAGTGGTCGGCCTCTGCCAAATAATGACCACAAATGCCAAGTGCCAGGGTGCTATGGGTGGGGACGTTGGCCTCTGTGGTGAGGTCTGACCACATGGTGAGGTGTGATTTTTTTTAATGGTTTATCTGTAGCAGCAGATAAACCTCCACTCTGGGAATCTACAGTCACAAAATCTGAATATAGACTGATAGCCCCATCACTTAACTGGGGCTCATAAAGTAAAATATGAAGCAAAAGCAGTGCCTTTTTAAAAAATATTTTTATTCATTTATTTTTAGAGATGGGAAGGGAAAGAGAAAGAGAGGAAGAGAAACATCAGTGTGTGGTTGCCTCTCACATGACCCCTACTGGGGACCTGGCCCGCAATCCAGGTGTGTGACCTGACGGGGAATCAAACCCATGACTCTTTGGTTCACAGGCCCACGCTCAATCCACTGAGCTACACCAGCCAGAGTAAAATGGTGCCTTTTATTTGGGGTTGAGAACCATGTCTTGGAGTGCTATGCCCTCTCAGCCCAAGTCAGTGTCATTTCTTCTCCACCCCATCCCCACCCCAGTCACTCCTGCACGCAAGTGTCTGTGGGGGCCAGTGAGAGCCCTGGGCTGGGAGCTGGCTCTGACTCTGCCCTACTGGCCCAGGCTGCTTGGTCAGTGGTGCAGAGGAAACATAAGACCAGAGACTTGGTCAGCAGCCACATGGCTGGTGGTGCCCTATACCTGCCCTCACCAATCCTTGGAACCAGAGACAGGAAAGCAGTGGGTCTCAGCTCCAGCTGTCCGTCAGAATCTCCTGACCCCACCCAGAGATTTTGATTTAATCAGCCACAAGAGTGGCCTGGGTATCAGCATTTCTACAGGCCCCGGAGAGGTTTCTAACCAGCAGCAGAGCTGTGAACCGGGGGTCCAGAGTGACTGGGACACATCACCGTCATGTGCTCTGGTGTGCCTGCTGGTCTGGTGTGCCTTCCTTCCTGTCCTAGAGTTGCTTCAGTGAGGACAGCTAGGAGTGGTTTAAAAATAAAGATCAGCTCTGTGAACAGTGAAGCCAGCCCAGGGAGCTGCACACAGAATTAGATCTGAAGGACCAAGGGCTCATAGCCTTGAATTTTTTTTCAACCTCATCCTCCCAGCTACCTCCCACATTCAATGTGTCACAGAGAATTACCGATTCTCCTTCAGCAACACCAGGCCAACCTCACCCACCCTCCCCGCCCACTGCCAGGTCCCCGTGGCCACATACCGGATGGCTGCAACTGCCTCACCCCTCCAGCTCTCCACCTTCTGCAGGTGGTTTTAAATAGTGTGTTCATTACTCTGCCCAAAAATCTTCAGAAATTCCCTTTTGCTCTTATTTTGAGAGCGAAACTTTAAGCAGATTAACTGCATGTCACTCACACCAGTTCTCCTCATACCTTAACGTGTCACTGAGACTAGAGGTTTTGTTAAACAGCAGATTCTGGTCCAGTGAGTCTGGGGGGCGGGGGGCCCAAGATTTTGCATTTCTTAACAAGGTCCCCAGTGATGCCCATGCTGCCAGTCCATGGGCCACAGGGAGAAGCCAGGAGCCATGCTGGCCACTTTGCTTTGTCCAGGTATTAGGGAGTGAGGAAAGCAAGGCCCAGAAAACTAACATGATTGTTCCAAATTTACGAATGTCACAGGTGGGGGACCATCCTGGCTAGAACTCAGGAGCTCTGGTTCTTAATCCAGAGAGCCCATCTCTGTGCCCAGCCATGGGAGGTGACAGGCATGGAGGGGACGTGATCGGGAGGAGCCAGGCTGGACTGTAACAAATATCTGGAGCGAAAAGCAAGGAGGGAATCCGTTGGAGAATGAAGTAGGTGTGTCAGTGAAAACCGTGGGGTGGAAAATGAGTGTTGGTTCTGGCTCAGAGAGATGAAACTTCAGCAAAGGGCAAAGAAGACTTCTTCCTTTAGAGCTTGGGGAGTAAATGAAGCCGCTGGCAGTCAGGGCACTGAGAAGTCCCTGGCGGGACACCCAGGGGGTGTGGCCTTCACATCCCACCCCTTGCCCTTCAATCTGGGTGAAGTCAGAGCCCCTTGCACAGCTTAACCAAGAGCATCCTGTCTCCTTTCAGGTTTCCAATAAGTGTCCAGCAAGAATGGAAGACAGATGAAGGCACCTCTTCTCGCTTACCCTGGCCTCAGAAGAGATCTGGGGGCTGCTGGGAGCAACTAGTGACTTTAATTTCAATGGAGGAGGCTGTGTTTCTTTAGGGGTGGTGTCCTGGAGGCTGTCTATGAGGCTGGGGCCATCTTTGCTGTGGGTGCTGGAGCTGTAGGCCGGGTCAGGCAGTGCCAGGGTGCTGGGGTCAGGACAAGGGATTCAGCTCACTCATGTAGCAGTGTTTCTCATAAACAACAGAGACCCTTTTAGATTATAAAGTAGTACTATTATAATATAGTGCAGGGGCACTTCACAGTGGTGGAACAGAGGGAAATAATAGTCATTTTTAGCTATTCACCAGCCCATTCCCCTGCCCCGCCCTTGGTGTAGAAGCCCAGGAACAGCCAGGGCAAGCCAGGTAGTGGGTCAGAGTCAACGCCAGGGCAGTGGGAGGCAGGGCATCTTGGTGACCAGTTCCAATCTCTCAGACCAAACCCTGTACCATCACCTCGATGTCCTGATGACCCCTAGGCAGTGCCTGAGTGATCTGTGTCTCCAGGGATCCCCCCACCCTGCAGGGTCAAAAGACACCATGGCACCCACAGAGCAGTGGATAGCTCCCAGGAGCTCTACAGTGTGGGCACCTTGGGGTGCTACAGAATTTGGTATGAAACTCCCACTCCCACTGGAGAAACAGCTGCCAGGAGTCTTGTCTCAGGGAGCCTCCCCACACTCCAGGCCCTGGCTCCCGGTGCAGATCCAGCAGAGGGTGTCCAACCCCTAGGAGGCATTGGGTGGTGGCTACAAGGGCAGGGGGAGGACAGGCACCTGGAAATGAAGCTCACAGAATAAAAGTGCTTGTCCACTGGCCCTGTTCTCTCTGTTCTATAGACACAGGACCTCGCCACCCTGGAGAGAGAGCAGAGAGAAAATACACTACTACTGGCATATTCCCTTCTTCTCAGGACAGGGTGGAGGAATCATGCAGGAGAAGACAGATCCTTGCATTTGAAAGCTGGACAGGCCCATAGAGCTCCTCTAATCCACACTCTCATTAACATGATTAGGAAGCTGAAGCAAAGGGAAGCCCTGGCTTTCAATTATATAGCTAGTTAGTGGCAAAAGCACCCTCCTTGGGGGGCTTCCCCTGACCACCCCGACTAGAAGTACCCCCTAGTTACTCTCTAACCCATGACTCTGTTTTACCTTCTTTATCGCTAGCTAACATATCATATTTATTGGCTTATTTTTTATGGCCTGCACCCCCCAACCCTTAGACTAAGATCTCCATGACACAGGGATCTGTCTGTCTTGCTCTCACTGTGGCCCCAGCACGAGTCAGTACTCAATAAATACTCCTTCAGGTGATGAGGGGGAGAATCAGAGCCCAGCTCTCCTGCTGCTGAGGCTGGCTCTGTGACAGAGGCCCCTGGGGCAGGGCCCAGTCCTTCTGGAGCATAATAACAACTGAAAACTAGACCATATATATATATGGTATAATATAAATATATACAAAACAATGGTTTTCAGATATTGGGTAAAAGGCAGTGGAGGACATTGGTACCCAAAAGAGAAACAAATGAGGTGGCCTTATGATTGCTACAACTTACTATCTGCAGTGTTCAGGCTGCCGTTCAAGAAGGGGGCGCCAGGGGGCATCTCCTAGTGGTTTCCTTGAATTTAGGAAATGGAGGGGGCAGTCTGGGGAGGCCAAGGTGGCTTAAATTTGCAAGGCAGAGTACCAGAGATGAGTCAGCTGCAGAGAGAAAGAGATAGAGATGGAGGTGGTGAGGTGAGGTGGAGGGCGCTCTCTGGGGATCTGCAGAGGGTACTCCTGAGTCTTCAGCTAACTGCTGACCAATGAATAAGTGTGAGAAAATCACCCAAGACTGGAGAAAGAACTAGCAGAAAGAAGGAGATAGATAACACAGGGCTGGGAACAGTTCGAGTTTCCAGCAGCCAAGCAGAGAAATCTCCTCACAAAAGGGTCGTTGAATACCAAGTTCAGAAGGGTGTTGCCTCAGAAATGGGTCCATGTGAGCCCCAGATGAAAGGCTGCTCTGGCCCTGCCTAACAAAGTTTGAAAAGCAAGCCTCAGAAGAGTCACACTGTTTCCAGTAAGTTTCCAAGTAACTCCACTGAGTCTCAGAACAAAACTTGAAAATATTTAAAAGAATACAAAATATCCAGCACCCAACAGTGCAGAATTCACAATATCTGATATCCAATTTAAAAATTACCAGGCATGCAAAGAAGTAGGAAAGTAGGCCCATAATGAGGAGAGAAACCAAGCGATACAAATAGAAACAGACCTGTGAATGACAGAGATGACAGATAAAGTAGACAGGGACATTTTTTAAAATGCGGTGCATATGTATTTAAAATATAGGCAGAAAGATGTCTGTTGTAATTCCTTCATTGTCAACATGAGTCATTGATCTAGACATTCTTTCAACAGGATATGCCTCCCACTGTCCTGAGTTCTAAGGAGTTGGAGGTAACCAAGACAGAGAAAGCACCAGCTCTCCTGGAACTTAGATTCTAATTAGGGACATAGACAATAAAGAAATAAACAAGAGAATCTGAGCTAAGGAGTGGGGTGGGATAGGATGGGCCTAGGTTCACTGGCAAAGTGGGCAAGGGTGTGAGAGCCAGGCAAGTGTGGAGAGGAAGGCAAAAGAGAAAAAGTCTTGGGACTAGGATAGCAGGTCGGGGGGCGTGAGAGGAGATCAGGCTGAGCAGTTGAACGGGAACGTGGAGCGTGGAAAAGAGGGGATCTATGGGGGATTTGAGTCATCTAAGAATATGGGGGAGGAAAGTCTTCCATGATGTGTTTCCAGGGGCTGCCTGGGCTTTAAGACAGAGGAGGTATAGGAAAGTCAGTGGTGAGTGTTGAAAGTTGAAAATGTATGTGTAAAACGTGGGAGGAGGAATAGCATTTCCTTTAATACAGGCTCTCTCTCCTGTGTGAAAAGTGGCCTCTGGATATGGCCCTGGGTGCTTCTCTCACAGCAAAGGAAGAGGCAGCACCCCTTTTTAGGGATCTCCATGGCCACGTGCCAGCCAGCAGGGCTGAGCCAGTTTTGTGCACACTGAAGGGGAACTCAGAGCCAAGAGCAGGCAGAGAGCTGGTTAGGTCCACCCTCTCTGTCCACTGAACTCCTTGTCTCAAAAAGGCAGCTCTTCCCCAGACCAGCTTCATTCCCCCTCTGGTCCCAGGTGTGAGATACTGTTATCATCTTCTCTTCAAGTAAACATCTTTTGGGTTTGCTTTTTCATTAGTGGCCTTAAAGCCAGGCAAGGAGATCCCCTCAACCATGCCTCAGAGGGCCATGAACTTTGAAGTGCCTTACTAGAAAGTTTCCGAGTCTCCCTCTGATGCCATCATGGCCAGCAATGCCAGACCTGTGGGCCACCCCCAGCCCAGACAAGGCCCCTTGTGGGCCTCAGTTTTCTTTTCGCCCTGCAGGGTGCTCTTCGGCTCCTGCATGGGGTTGACCAGATGCTCCGAGGTGCTCCAGGGTTCATGTCTATGGGATTGTCCTGGAGTTCCTTTGTCAGTCCCTGGTTCCAGGAGGACAGCCCCATGAGCCGATCACTCCTGCTGACTGATCGTTCCTTTCATGGCATTGCTCAAGATTGGGCCACCAGGGTGGTGCCAGTGTGCCACTCTGAGTGACCCTCACAGACATAGGACAAAGAACCTTTACATGTTTGTGATTAGGCAACAAACAAATCCATGAGTATCACTCTCCTACCATATATTCTGAATGTTCACCAACAAATCACTATACCTCACATGGACTCATGAATTTGGGACATTTTTTAATCAAATTGCTTATATAGACAAAAAATATGTACCAGGACTCCACATACCCAGGAGCAGCCATGGCCTTTTCTCTGATCTCAGTCCCCTGTTCATTCTCTCTCTCAGGCCCTGGGGAGGCTCTGCTCTTCCCTGGGGCTGAGATGAAGTCTGTCTTGGTCAACACCCCTCATCCACATCCTGGTCCATGTCTTCTTGGGCTTATTGCTGCTTTAGCTCCAAACTCTCTTGCTTCTGGGTCTTTTCCACAGTTTGTAGAGGTAAGGAGACTTAAGGGGCTGCTTTAATATGGAATGTCCAGTGAATTCCTGAACAATCCCTTTGCCTTCCTCAAATGTAGTAGCCACCAAGGGAAGGAGGCATGGTCCCCTCATTCTTGTTGTGCTCCCAAGCTGGTCAACTCCTTCACTAGGTTGCACAGCTGAGCTATTTCCCTGTGGGAGTTACAAACCACAACAACTCAGAAAAAGGAGTAGCCAACTAAGAGCCTGCGACAGACATTGGCAGTGCCCTGCCCATGTCCCCCAGCCCACCTGGAGTTCATGTGCAGCTTTTGTGGACAGTCTCATTCGTACCAATGGCTTCCTGTCCCAAGCACCTGTGTGTCTCTTCCTGAAGATTCTCTCGGCCACAGGAGCACCCTGGGCAGCCCGTGTGCAGGGCAGCTCGTGGTTCAACAGGTAACCTCCCCTGGAGCAGTCCTCACCCAATGAGGGGCAGGAGTGGCCAGATCCTTGCCGCCCTGAGGGACAGCCTCACAGTCTCCCAGAGGTCCTCAGTGGGAGCTGAGCCCCGGGTGCCCGCAGCCGTCACCTGCTCCATTACACACCGTGCACTGGCCCCTGTCTCTCTTCCCCATTCTCTTAGAGGCATCTTTTCCTGGGATCTCTTCCCAGATGAACTACTCCCATCCAAACTTTGCCTCGGGGTCTGCTCTGAGGTAAGTCCAGTTTAGGCAAGGGTGTTTATTTCAGAACCATGTGGGGCTCTTATAATCAAGCTCTCTGGGCTGGTGAAAACAAGAGCCCTCCCACCTTCAACCAGGGCCCTGCCTTGTGCTACACACTGGGGCTCCAGGGAAGGTCTCACGTGAGAGAGGAGTCTTGCTGCTAAAAAAAAATTTCTGAGCAAAATAAATAAAGCTTTGTCTGTTTGTTTGCCTCTCTGTCTGTTTGTCTTGAGCCTTTCCCTCCAATCACCCCTCAACTTTCCCCATCCTCTCTGCTGGTCGCACAGTGGGGCCAGACCTCCCCTGACATCACACTCTCTGGCCACGAGGGCAGACAAAGGCCCGCACAAACCTGCACCTGCACCGCTGCCTCCACACAGGACACGCTCCACACCCTGTGCTGTGGTGAGACCTCCCCAGCCCAGACAACCACAGGCAGCCCGTGTCACTGTCAGCCCATGGTGCCATCTGTTAGCTTGGCTCTGCCAGGGCAGCAGCATCTTGAACCAGGGCTCCTTCTCTCCCCTTGGGCTTTCCCTGCAGGGGACGCACTGGGGCAGGTGGGCCTTATCTTCTCCCCTGGGTTCCGGTTTGGAACGTGCCCTTTTTCATTTGTGCGGATATGTGCCTATTGAGTGGCTCCATAAGTGAATGCCGATGTTGGATGGTGGGGAGGCAGCCTGTCCTTTCCTTATCTCAGGACTCACCCAGATGGAAAGAGTCCAGGCCCAGCTGCTCTGTTTACTCTGCATTCTCTGCCCATTGTACATGAAATTGATCTGGGGGGTTTGTTTTTCTTCTTTTTCCTCCAATCTCCTTATTAGTTCAGCCTCAGAAAGTTCCTTATCGCGGCCGGATGTCAGGCCACACTCTGCCATCAGGCCTGGCCATGGTACTGTCCATTAATTGATTTTGCCCTCCCCTCCTTGGGAAGCACAAATTGGCTTTGCCCATTAGTGGCAATAATTCCCTGAAAAGGATTATAAATCATGACCTATGTCCGTCGGCTGCTCACAGTGGAGTGGGGCCCCTGTTGGGGAGGTGTCGGGCAAGGAGCTGGAACGTTTGCAGGGTAGAGGAGGCCCCAGCAGTCTTGCAGCCCTGCTCCTAAACCTGAGCACGTGAGGCCACAGCCAACCAGAAGCTGAGGCACGTCCCAGCACACACAAGGCCTCGATCAGCGGGCCTCACTAAATGAGTAAAGGGAGGGAGACAGAGAAAGGGGGCTCCCTCTACGTGGGCAGAGTGCTTTGAGAACCTCTCATGTTGAACCCCACCCACCAAACCCACCATGGTGTTGCCACCCTTTGGCTCTGTGGCCTTGGGTTTTCAGAAGTTCCCCACTGAGCAGGAAGTGCTCCTGGGGAAGACTCTGTCCTTAGCTCCAGCCCTGCTGGTCTGTGGGTGTCTGCAAGAACCTGAGTGTGAGAGGAGGAAGGGAGGGGTGCACCCAGAGAGAGCAGAGAGATGAAAAGCAGCCGGGAAAGGTGGGAGGAAGCCACAGTCTGGCTGATTTTGCCAGCACGTAGTAGGTTCTCAACAGGGACTGTAGTTCCCCCTTATCTGACAGGGATACGTTCTAAGACTCCCAGTGGATGCCTGAAACCACGATAGTACTGAAGTGTGTGTGTGTGTGTGTGTGTGTGTGTGTGTGTGTGTGTTTTCCTGTACATACTCACCTTTTCACTCAAAGGAAGCACTTTATGGCTTCTCTTTGAAACATCCAAATTGCCAGCATCGCTACTGTTGTGCTTTGGGGCCATCATGAAGTGAAATAAGGGTGACTTGAACACAAGCACTGCAACACTGTGACAGCCAATCCGGCAACCAACAGCCTACTAAGTGAGGAATGGGTGGGAGCATGTGCAGCGTGGAGCCGCTGGACAAAGGGGTGGCTCATGTCCTGGATGGGATGGAGCAGGAGCATAAGATTTCATCACACTACTCAGAATGGCATGCAATTTAAGAGTTATGATTTGTTTATTTCTGGAATTTTTCATTAATATTTTAAGACTGCAGCTGACCATAGATAACTAAAACCATGGAAAGCGAAACTGCAGATAAGGGAACACTATTGCCGTCCATAAATGCATGCAGTGCTGTGCCGTGCCCACAGCAAGCCTGGTACCTCTCCCTGCCCAGGGCCTGAGTGAGGGAGGGCTTCAGTGACGGCTGATCCAGCCCTCCCTCCTCCCCAGCACCTCACTGACGTCCCTCCGGCCCACCACGTTCTCCCATGCAGAGAATGCATTCTCTCGCCCTTCACTTCCTTCCACCTGGGAACAACCACCATCACCTGTGAACGGTGTCCAGACCTGTTGAGGATACTCAGGCTACAGAGGTTGCTAAGACCTTCCTGAGATCCCCAAACTTCAACCGATAAGCTTCCTAAACGGCACACAAGAGAATTCTTCACGTACTGAACTCCTCCAGTGCAATAAAATAGGATTTGATTATCACACAGCCTTGCAGTTCTAACTACAACTTTTGCTTAAAACCAGAAATTAATGAGTCTGTAGTGACAAGATGACAGCCAGCACTCTGTTGTCCCATTTCTCCAAAACACAAGGAAACACTAGTCCAGGGTGAGGTTTATGGCTCCGTGGCTTTCATCTGCCTCCAAGAATAGGCCACATCCCAGCTCAGTGCTGTCTGGGAAAGCTGTGGGTGTGCGGAGGGCTTTGTGCTGGGTGGCTGCAGATCCCAGGGGACCTCACGGAATGCAGAATCGGCAGGATTGCAAAGAAGGCAGCTGCCACCCCAGACAGGACCCCACCAAACTACAGAATGGGTGAGGTGTTGCGAAGGACCCCACTTGTTACTGCCTCGGGATAGTCCTTATGCACAGCCTCCATGGCTAGCCTGTATTTGTGGTCATTCTGGTTTTGGCTTTGGAGCAGAAGAACCCTATGTCACTATCACTCTCTTGGTCATTCCTGTACCTGAAAAGAGCAAAAATCCCCCCTTGTTTTTATTTTCTGTAAGGCATACCTGCTTCCCTCTCCCTCTCTTTCCCTCCCCACCCCCTTCCTCCTCCCCACTCCCATTCCAGAACCATAGTTACTTGTCCCGGATGTGCTTGCCACAGTGTGTGACTCCCCATAGTTCCTTCCAAGTGGCACCTGTACGTGGGGTGTCAGCTGACTGGGGCTAATCAGCTGAGGGTGGGGACTGACCCAAGGACAGCCAATCCTCAGCCTGATGTGGCCCCTGTGAAAGGGGGCTCTCAGACACACTGCCTCCTAGAGCATTTGAGCCAAGAAATGCTGAGAGAAGAAGCCCCTGGGAGCTGGTGCTGACCAGAAACACACCCTCCAGGATGAGGGGAAGGGGCTCCCCTGAGGGGAGGGGCAGGCACATTCCCAGTGGAGAGTGAGGAGTGAGGAGGCAGACCTGGTTCCTCCAGAACCCTGGCTGCTCCTGGCTTCCCACCACAAATTACTTCAATTACTTGAGATTTCGTGAGAGTGGTCCTATTCCTTCCAACTCAAATAAGCCTTGAACAATTCAAAACACAAAACCTCGTGTAACCATTGGAAAGTAATAGAATACCTAACAGTGGCTTAAACAAATAGGCTTTATGTTTCTAACATGAATAGAGAGCTAGAGACAGGTGTGTGCATGAATCAGCTGAGCATCTTTGCATCGTTCTTGACCTTTCCCTTGAGGACACAAGTTCACTCAGCAGGTGCAGTCATCTGCGCATTCAGAAAAGACAGGAAGAGGGCCACTGAGGCTGAACCCTTTGTCAGGAGAGAACCTCCTTGGCCTACTCTGCCCAGATCTAATTGGTCAGAATTGGGTCACATGGCCACCCCAGCAGCAAGGGAGCTTGGAAAGTAGGTGTCGATCCTTTAACCCCCTCCCCATTTCTGAGCCCCTCTCCCCCACTTGAGGTGTTCTT